ATGGAGGCGATTTCACGCTTCCAGTAAAATAAATCGGCCAACTCACTAAAATAATTTCCTGTACTTGCTGTTTCCTGGGCTACATTCAAAACACAGCTCTGTTCGTTGTGTTCAGTCACTGACCAGAACCTCATCATTCTTTGTCGTGCGAGTCAGTTAAGTAAAAGTTCTCCAATGCAAAATGAAAGTTTCAATTTTCTGATCGTCGACCGAAAGGCATGATTTTCTAATCCATCCTCTACTCTTTCCACCTAGAAAGAGCAGAGGGATGAAGCCCGAGAAGGCTAATAGAATCACCAGCGTGACTGCCTCATCTCTCTGTTGTGGTTCGAGCGGAAAATACTAATGTAACATGCAACGTACACACCCACGCATAATCACTTTCACACGCATAACAAAGTCGGTATTCAACACTGAGCAGCAACACAGAATGCGGCCTTAGTGGCAACACAGAATGTTGCCGCTAAAGTAAGAAAGTAATGATCTTTGTAATCGTCTTAGTGACCAAATTACACAGGCTAATGATGACTGACAAAGATACTGTAATTGGCTATCACTGCATTTTATATCTTGCAAAACAACAGGAAGTGAGTTGCGCGAAAATTAATTCAAGCCAACTTGTCAGCTTTTGTAACTAAACGAAAATACACTCCCGCCTTTATTAAGTCTTCCACAGTAAACAACAGTCACGCGATATGCGCATGAAGTCTTCTTTTTAGGTTTCTCATATCCCCTTCTTCCAATTCAGAACACACGATATAGCTAAACAATCATGACAAAAGACCCGAAATTTCTACCAACCGAAGTGCCTTGCGTCACTTAGAGTTTGCCATATTGTTTAAACCTGTAAGCAACTAAATACGGTTCAAAATAAATATAGTCTAATATAGTAATCCTTGCTAGAAGTGATGACGAGAAATGGTTATTGCAAAGTGAACGGGCTTTCTCTTTGCCCCGACGTGAATAGATAACTTGTAAATGTTCAAGAGGTGTATAGAATCATATTCACAAACTTGAGGAGTGTTTTGACAAGTCACAATTTTTTAATTACTAGTGACACAAAGCCCTGACCATACAGTATATCTCTTGAAGAAGGTGAGGGGATAGCCATTCCTGTGGTCCTTAGTGTCGCTGGTGTCATCGGTCTATGTGTTGTTCCTTTCTTTATCTGGCGGTTTCTCAGAGCGCAGCCTCCCGATGATCGGGTTGAAAACCTTTTTGATAGAAATAATTTACCCAATTATGGTGCAGCTAATGGAAGTGATAACCCCATCAGCAGCGGAAGTGAAACCACATCGAGAAGTGCGTCTCCAAGTTTAACTAACCCCTCGTCAACGAACTCATCATCGCGTAGTGATATCATAGCGTCATCTAAAGAAAGTTATAAAGAAGGTAACAGGCCATATGTCTGTTGAAGAAGACACGTTCACTTGCTCAGCAGATCACTAGACCAAAGGATATCATTTGGTTTCTCGTTAGCTAGAAGTAACTCGATAGCGAAAAGACTTGCACATATTTAACTTAAATTATTTGAAGTGATTAACTGTAATTCTAGGACCTTTTATAGAGAAATAGATAAATAGTGTTTTTGTTCAATCTTTGATGAATGATTCTGATAGTAACAATCCTTTCGGCAAATAACTATATGGTTGAGTTTGTTAAAAAGCTGGTTTGTAGAGATAATCTTTCAACGATCAATGAATTCAAAGAATGAAGATTAAAGCAACTGTGTAATTAAATTTCAAGGGGATCAAGCCTTTTCCTATAGTCAGCAGTGTAAATTTGTACCAACTCGAGAATTTTGAGACCTCCATATACATATCAACAGGAAAAAATTGTGTCTGGATCTCAATGGAGGACTGAATAAAGCCCGAGGTAAGGTTTACTGATAGTGTCTGAATAATGTGTGTAGCCCATCATCCAACAAACATTTTCTCTGGCATGCAATTGCTCAGAATATGGCAAACGAGAGCCATTAGGTCATCAGTTTTATTACTTTCAAATGTTACCCCCATTGAATAAAGTCTTACTTACTTACTTAATTACTTACTAAATGACTTGCAGTCTACACTATATATGCCCAAGTGGAAATCGGAGAAAATCTGGTAATCTACTCCAATTTTCAATCTTCATCCCAAGTTTATTTCAAGGAAGAAAGCCTTTTAATTGTCACTGCAAGAAAAGAATGACAATTATGAAGTAATAGTAGAGAACAATGAAGTTAAAAAAGTTTTCAGCCAACATTCTGGGACCTGAACAAGTCAAATTTTTCCTCCGCTGTAAGAGATTATTTATTTAGCCTTATGTCAAAAATAATTTTTTCCTTCTCGGAACAGGTGGGAAATATGTGCAAGGCCAAACATCTAAGAAAATTTACGTGCTAAATTGAGCCTAAGTGTATTAGTAACCGATATCAAAGTTTGTAAAGAAATCTACTGAATCAAAGATCATCGAATAAAAGGGACAGTTTAAAAGTATATATTTATGCACCCAAGAGAACCATTATGTTCTATTATAAATCGATGGTTTAACATATAACACGCGCCGATATTTTGCGGGTTGTTAAAGAAGTTTATGGTTAAAGCCTTCTTGCCTTCTTCTTCAATGTAATACCGTGGAATATTTGCGCGTTCTCGTGAACTTTTTTTAAAAGGACACATCAGCGGAACAATATGATTCGCTATTTTAACGATAATGCTCATGTGGTACAGATTCACTTCAGTTGTACTATGGAAGGGTATCAATAATTCCCAGGGTTAGGGAGATGCATTTGGTACGCTTGATCAAATGCACTTTAAACGACCGAAGCCCAGTTGTTTAAAAGGCGGATAACACTATCCAACGGATAAATTGCTCTCCGGCGGGTAAGTTTTTTTATATAATACTGCTCTATATATTAGATAGATATTTATATAGTGCATAACGTTATACACCCTTTGAACAACTGGGGCCAGCTAATCAGAAAAGAGATTTCCAAACGACTCATCCAGTCGACGAATGGGAAAACGGTAATTCTATAAATAGCTTTTGCTTAGTACAGGGCTATATGACACTTGGTACTCTTTAAATATTTGTTCGTTTCGCAGTCCCTATGGAACGACTTCTGATGAGCAAAGAATAATTCAACTGCGGGTTTAATTTATCGTGATAATTTTACAGTGTTGACTACGAATAAATAGATGAAACTTGGAAGATTGAGTAACTGCAGTTAGAGATACTTTGTTGCTGTGACGAAAAGGCTATCGTAATTGATATAATGATTTTAAGTGTACATACACAGATACATACATACATACATACATAAACTTTTTTTTCTCGAATTTAAGAGCAGTTTGTAAAAACTACTTAACTATGGTCTGTTATGTAAAGAAACAAAGTTGACTTTGTCCAATAAAGTATTATACGCAGATTCAACATTATTTAGAATGAACCTAAGACTTCTTTTATTAAGAGCATCTAGTTTCTCGGTGTTTCGTACACTACAGAAATGCCACACCGATGAACAATACTGAAAGTGCGGTAAGATGAAGGCCTTACACAATTTGACCAAAGTGGCTTTAGAGATCAGTTTTCTAAATCTTATCATGACATTTAACTGATTATTGATCTTTTTGCATATCGAAGATACGTGTTTATCAAACTGTAGTTTGTTGTCAATGTTCGTACCAACTGTGTCGATGGAGTCTTTCACTGGAAAGGAGTATGTATGCTCCGTATCACCAAGGATCCAGGCCTGATGTTTAGTTTCGTTGACAATCATACCATTGTGTAAAATAATAATATTATGAAAATATTATAAAAATAATTAATTGCTCTTACCATAATAAATAAGAAAGCTTATAGTGAAATATTAATAAAGTTGGAGACTGCTTCACTACTAAGCTTGTGTGACCTAGCAGTTCACTGTAAGGGAAGTGTCATGACTTACGTCAATTGACATGTAATCATTACATGTTTGTGATCGCATTGGAGGACTAAGACGAGTGGATAGCCAGTGAACCTTACATACATACATACATACATACATATATACATTTTATTGTGTTTTGGGATAAAAGTACAGTAACATGCCCGCGGGTAGCTTAGCTAATCTAGGCGGGTCATGTTGACAGGAAATAGATACATCTAAATACAGCTAAAAGTAACAAGAGAACTAAAAAAGCTAGAATTGACAACAATGATTAGAGACTACTGATAAACTAATGATATTACTAATAATAAATGACAACAGTCTTGACGGGATATTACTGATGCATTAAAAGATATAATTGAATACTTATCAACTGATCAATCAAGAGGAAGATAAATTCAACTTAACTTTTTGAACGATTTCTGGAAGATCAATGTAACAATCTTCTGAAGCTAGGATCTCAAAAAGTGTTTGTTTTGTTTTCCTCTTCTTCTGTAGTCAATGAATGGGAAACGGTAACCGTACCCTAGGAATAACTTTGCTTGTTATAAGGCTATCTGACATATTTGTTTGTTTCGTAGTCCCTAGCTATGGAACGGTTCTTAATGAGCATAGAATAACTCAATTGCGGTTGTAATTCATCGTGCTAATTTTACAGTGTGGAGTAGGAATAAATAAATAAAACTTAGGAGATTAAGTAACTGCAGTTAGAGATATAATTGATATAATGATTTTCAGTGTAAAAGAAAGTCTTTCAGTCATCTATGAAAATATTATAAAAATAATTAATTGCTCTTACCATGATAAATTAAAAAGCTTATGGTGAATAGCCCATTTCCGAATAACCCTTGGCCTCATTTTCAAAACAAGGCCAGGTGCTCAATCATTCTTGTGAAAATGAGTTTAATTTGCCTGTGAATGAAAACTTACTATCATATGAAAGTATGAACACCAGGACTCGTTTTGAAAATGAGGCCAAGGGTAATTCGGAAATGGGCTATTGTTAATAAAGTTGGAAACTGTTTCCCTACTAAGCTTGCGTGACCTTGTAAGTCACTGGAAGGGAAGTGTCATGATTTATATCAATTGACATGTAATTTTTGTGATCGGATCGGAGGACTAAGACGAGTTGGTAGCCAGTGAACCTTAAAGCAAATTGTTTACTAAAAGATCTGAGAGTGAAAAGTCCCTTCGAGTCTCAACCACTTTTGCTTTTCCGGCGTCAGCAAGGAGTAGAAGTCCCTAGCCACTAAAGGTACGCTTTTCTCGCACAATTATTGAACTTAAGCAAATTTACAGACGTAGTAGGTTACTGACGTTGTCTGTACAAAAGCCGGGTAATCAAGCATTAGTCATCAATTTTACACCAAAAGTCTACCTTATAAATTGCAAAACACATTGCCAAACAACACTGATGGACAAAAAGGACACAACTTGATAATATCAAAGCCCATTTTCGAAAAGATGGAAAGTTATAGAGGTCACGCTTCATCGATGCTGGCTTCCGCTTTCATTCTCAGAATTGATCCACTAGAGCCATCTTACGCAGTGTTAATGTAACCTATAGCTTTCCACAGCACTTCTTCTTTCTTTGCAATCCCGATTAACTTACTTCCGAAATCGATAAGTTACTGGTTCAAAAGTAGGTTTATGTTTGTTACTCTAATTTAGTACATGCAAGGCCGTCTATGCATTTAATTTGCTTTGAAAATTGAGATGGCGGATTGAATTCTACCGTGACAGACCACAGGGTTTTCATATAAACAAACAACTCATTCTCGCGTTGTTTGATTGAGGTGGCTTGATTTCAAGCAATTACTTCGTTGAAGTATACTTTATTTGAAGGAGCAGGCGTTAATGAATCGTTAGAGTGTTAGACAGATACATGGAAACGCATAATTACTAAACCGGTTTGCCTCCCGACAGTTACGATTATTAAATTTTGCTATGTTTCGCTCATTTCAAAGCTCTTTTGGCCTTGGTGCTGTAAACGCCACCGAGGGTAAACAAACCGTATGCAAAATTTTCATCATATACACATAGTTGATCTTATATGTTCGACTCAGAACCGGGATAAAGATGTTCTCGGAATATCCACTTATTGTGTATGGGCTGGTGTACTGTTACCTGTTTGTCTATAATCATTTAGCATTGATTTTATGATGTGGAAAAAAACATTAAATTCTAATTACTTCTAAATCTTTAGGCTAAATCTTCGACACTGACGTTCTACTTTGCATGGTCTATGATCGATAGCCGTATAAAGTGTAAGTACAAAGTTAAAAGTAAAACAGGCGCTTTCCGAGAAACTATGTTTTCGTTATGCATCTAAAAATAAGCTAAATTAAAATGGTTGGTCGTGATTCCAGAGTCTTATTCCCTTTTTTAGCGAAGATGGAGTCTTGGATTAAGTTTTTAGGCGAGATGTGTTATAGATCGGCCAATTTTAGCTCCATGCATACTTAGCAGATGTCAGACGAAGATCCCAAGTGCTGCCATTTTTTCCCGGAAATGAACATCATAGTGCGATCGTAGCTTGTTAATTCATGTGTTTATTGTGGAAAGTTCCAGTTACAGAAAACAGAAACGTAAATTCCATGCCAAAACCTCATAAATTTCTGTGTATGTAAAAATATAAAAAGCTTTCACTCGCTAGCTAATGAGGGATCAAAGATTCTTCATTTCAGGTGCAGTGAACCAAGCGACATTTCACGGAGAAGTATTCATAAATATCTCTTTGCTTAATTGTAATCTTACATTTTTCTCTCTCTTTTGCTTATGCCCTTGGTTATATTATCGAGAAATATTTTTTTTCATTTGAATAAGTGCTACTGAATAACCACTTTTTTGTTTGTAATTGCAACAATTTCTGCACTCATTTTTTGTTAATCTTCGTTGATGATTCTTTCGAATTCTTCAAGATATCCAGCTGCACCGTGGGTTTAAGGTTGTTCTAATTTCCTATCAAACAGCCAAGTAAAATCAATCGAAGCTACGAATTCTAAGGAAGTTGCCAAGATTTGTTCTTCAAAAACTATCCAACTTCTCTAAGTAAGAATCAAATTATCACAGCTAGTGTAGGTTCTCTTGAAATCACCCAGTTTGGTACAGGAAAGTATCTTCAGTTAGGCGCCAAAAGTGAATTAAAGGAAAATATAAAAGTTTTCTAACGGATCAAATGCTGTCCACAAAGTTCGCCTAGGTTAAAAAATTAACTTTGAAAATTTATATTGATGATTTGATGTCCAAGAGCGTAAAATTTTGGCTTTTACCTTTCAAATATACATTTGCCCCGTCAATGGCTCGAGTCGCATCCTCTTTTTCTAAAAAGATGAAGTACAATTTACACGGGTTAGAAAGATGCCATTAATTTTATTCTCCTTCTTTGAAAGCTACACGTCAGAGTTATCTCTTAAAGGGGTGTTTGATAGCTTGTTGTTCAGACTTAAACATGATCCTTGCCAAGTAGTTAGAAATGCGTTTTTACTGACAAAAGCATATTTGATATTTAAGGGAAGGTTATGTTCCTTTGCCATTTACACCCCACGAGTCAATGAGCTTTTTTCCGCTTTAACTCCCTAACATTTCTTGTAAGTTAGAAGAGAGAATCTGGTGGTATATCAAGATGAAACTCTCCATTTTATATACCTGTGTCTTCTTCTCTTAACCTTTTAAAGGGAATCGTCAGGAGAAGCTGAGTGTTCATAACTTGAAGGGTTGATTTATGATCATTTTGTAGGAGTAAACGTTTGCATACAAACATGCTTTATTCCCTCGTTAGTACGGGTACTATGAATAGACACAGCCATGATAGCATGCATTGTTTTCCATCTTAGGGACCGTTCCGAAATGCCTTACTTGAGCTTGGTCGTATCTTTCGTAACCGTACTGACTTCCTCAAAATATCAAGTAACGGACGAGGCAAATACATCAGAACAAGCTCCATGTGTTTACATGGTTTCCGAAGAAGAAGTATACAATCTCACGAGTTTAGCAAACATCAATCACAAACCTAGGTTTGTATATCTAACGCATACCATACACTTATTGACTGAGCTGAAGGGTCGAACGGGAAAATATTTAGCTCGATCGAGATCATGACGTACATGACCGAGACCCAAGTATTTTCCGGTCCGGCCCACACAAACACGGTCAATAAGTATTAAATCATATGACCACTAAGTGTTGAAAATTCCGAAAGTTCTGTTTCAGCCTACAATCAGCGTCAAAAATAGTTGACAGATCATGTTTAAAGAGTCTTATTTGAGTGTAGAATAACCCTCCTTTTTGTACGACACTTTGAATCATTGACAAGAACCCCCTTCCCCATTCAATTAATGTTTCCTTGTAGCTAAAAGTTCACGGAATCATGATACAACGTTAACAATGTTTTTTTTGGGGTGGGGGGGAGGGGGGCGGAGGGAGCGAATAGGTTAACTTAACAAGTGCAAAAGAGTTAAAATCGAAGTAATGGGAGGTTGAAAAGGTCACTAAGCCAACAATTTTGCCGCCGATTGTAGATAGTATGCCACAGAAGCACGCTCACGAGACAACCACAAAAAAGATCCTACAATAAATACTTGTCCTTTGTCTTCTCGAGTAACAACCACAAAAACCCTCAATTCATGGAAAAACGCGACTTTTCTTCACTTTTTTTCCTTAAGTTTTTGCAACAAAGCCGTGTGAGTGCAGGCGTATCATCAATCCCAGGCTTGCATAATCAAATAATTCCAACAACAATGTGTCTCCTTTTCCTAAGCAGATTTCGAACAGAAAGCCGCGGTGGTTATAGGTACAGCTACAATCCATGCTTCTCTTTCAAGCTAGGGCCAAAGAAAGAAAGCTCATGTCGCTCTAATGTTGCGGTAAGGAGAACCGAGGGAAGCTTAGAAAATATTGAATAGCCAGCATGAAAGATGAAACAAAAGTGATTTTATTCCGTTACTTATCATAGGAAGAAAAATAAGATGTCTTTTGTTGAATTAATATGGACAGTAGAAGACTTGAGGCTACCCTAAGAGACGTCCTTGGAACGTTAGTTCACCTTGAAAAGCGTAGTTCCTTCCTTTTGACGTCCGAACTTATAATTAAAAACGGTGTTTAGAGAAGGAAAGATCCTTTACTGCTGCCGGGTCACTTTCTTGAACAAATTACATTCGGAAGAAGTTTATTTACATAGCAACTTGGAATGATTTAAAAAGACAAAATAGTGATAGAATGTCTTTTTGTTATATTTTCCAATTCGGGCTTTTTATTCTATCTGACTCAGATTTTTTTTCTGTCTATAGTGTGTTATCTTGTATGCAAATAGGGCACGCAAAACACGTAAAGCTCTCGGGTGGCTTTGTAATGAAATTATTTTTCAGCCAAAGTTTTGGAGATGCGGGGTAATGATCTAACATCAGCTGACGAAACGTCTCCCTTAGGGACCATGGAATAAAATTTTGCAAAATGTTCTCCTCCTAGAAAAATGTTATGGTTCATGGCGAAAACCTCCGTCAGACGGAGAATAGTTTTGGGTGTTGAATTTTCCAATTCATAAACTTGTTTCAGATTTGTCGATGGGTTGAAGGTCATGAAGATTCCTACGTGAATATTGGCCATCAGAGCTCAATGCATTTCGATGGAGAAGGTAAAATTCCAAAGCTACGATATTATCGGTGAGTATCTGTATTTACCGAGTGAAAACAAAGTGGATCAATTTTCCGTCTAAGGTTCTCATGTTTCTACAAAAGTGCGAGTTTCTGGGGATGAACATGCAGTTGCTACTTTGGTTATCATCTGAAGTAGTCTCCACATTTCATACATGGCTATAAATCGCTAGCTTGATAGCCAGCAATGTTACTAACATCTTACAACCAACTTTTAAACCTTAGCTTGACTTATTAACCTCCGACTTGGCCATCTGCGATCCACAGTTATAAGCTCATTACACTGAGTTTTTAGCGTGTTCGTAATCAATTTTGCATTATATACAATTTTTTATATTGTACTGATTCAATTTTCTTTTCTTTCAGTGGTAACTGGATAGCCATTGTATCACTGGTGTGCGAATTATCTGAAAACAAAGGCAAATTCAAAGTTGTGACGGATCTAGAGTCTGGAGACATGGTAAGTGACTCTCTTAAACGACTTGTTTGCCTAATTTGAAAGACATTTAAGGGAGATCAGTAAGTTATGAAATCCTCCTTAGTTCTCCTCTTCAAAATTTTAATGTCCAGAACGAGCAATATGACAAAACACTTTAAACAAAAAACTGACATTTTAGCTACTTCTTTCAAGCGATGAATTTTGTGTCATTTTCTCAATTTTTTAAATAGTAAGCGGTGTGTTCAAGTTTTTAATCATAGTTTTACTTACTAAGTCTCCGAGGGGTTGCACCACAGAAGAAGAGAGTACACGATCAACTGTCTATTACTGCATTTCTCTTCAGGAATTTAATCTGTCCCATAAGTGTGCATGCCCGAATAAGTGTGTAATCAGTCCTACAACGAAACCGAGAACTACAGCTGCCCCTGGTAAGTGAAATAATTCTAACCATTATGTCCTTACATTTCACAAGTTTTTGCAATTTCTAAAGAAAATTCTACCATATCAGATTCACCAACAGGTCGAGCTTCTCTATTAAGCTTTGAAATGATCTTCTAGAAAAACTCAGAGGATAAAATGCTCAAAGTAAATCTAGCCTCAGATAGTAACCTTTGCCAGAATTGAAAACCAGAAACGCGTAGTGTTAGATAAAGTTTTCTCTTTTAGTTGCACTAAATTAAACTAACATTGTATAAATGATCAATAATTTTTATTGATTTTAAGAGCTATCCATTGTCATAGTTGTTAATGTCTTTTACAAGTCATCCTTGCGGAATTGGTAATGACACATGCTGAAGTTGAAAAACGACAGAAAAGAACTGTTTACATAAAATTAATTGAATGGGGCCAAGAACAATTAAGGATTATTATCGCTATTGTTTCCGGAAGTTGCAGAAAACACAAGTGATATGAATCCTTAATTCTACGAGAAATCTTGCAGTTATTAATTATGACATAGAGGGAAAAGTATAATTTCATTAGGAAGATGAAAAACGACCAATATAGCGGCCTCAGCGTCCTAGGAACCAATCAGTTTCGAGTAATTTTACCCGGACAATTACCAATATTATGAAATAAATGTCCTATGACCCAGCTAGTCTTCATTGGTAATTTTCCCCTCCATGTTTTGGTATCAACTACAGTATTTCTCTGTGTTAAAGCAGATGATGAAGGCATTGTAGTTCCTGTGGTCGCTAGTGTCGCTGGTGCCATCTGTCTATTTGCTGTTCCTTACATTATCTGGCGACTTGTCAGACAGCCTCCCAACGACGTTCCACCGGCACCGGCAGGGGCACCAGCACCGGCAGGGGCACCAGCACCGGCAGGGGCACCAGCACCGGCAGGGGCACCAGCACCGGCAGGGGCACCGGAACCGGCACCGCTTCACGATCAGATATGCAACCCGCTTTTGGGTGAAAACCTTCGAACTGATTATGGTGCAGTTGGTGGAATTGATAACCCATCCAGTGCAAGTGAACCCCCGTCGGGAAGTGAGTCTTCTAGTTCAACAAAGCCCGCGTCAACGAGCTCATCATCGTGTAGTGATATCAGAGTGTCTTCTAAAGAAAGTTCTAAAAACGAAAACAGGTCATATGTCTGTTGAGGAAGGCACGTTGATGAGTTCAGCAGCCGCTCACCGTTCAGACTATAGGAAATTATTTGGTTCCTTGCGAGCTGGCGGAGGCAATTAGATGGCGAAAGATTCTGATCATGTAATTGAGCAGTTGATACTGGTATTAAAAACAATTAAAAACATAGCTTTAATTTGAGAATGAAACGTTTAGAATCGCTTCCAGCCATGAGACAACGCAAGGCTAGTTTGTTTATTCACTCTAAAACAAATTAAAGGCGAAAAAAAGATTTATTTGCGTAAGAATGGAGTATATTTCATTAATCTCATTAGGGGGCAACAACTCTCATTGCTAGCTAGAAGACATCAAATCAGAAAGTTAAGAATGGAAAGAAAAACATAATCCAAAGAAAGAACGAAGAGGACCCCCCTAATAAAAAAGAAAGAAACAAGAGAGATTTTTTGTTTGATGAAGTTTATATTAACGATTCAATGGTGGTTACTCAGACCCACACGTTTGTCTTCTGATGTACTTTAAAGTTACAGAATGAATGGAGAAAAGGGTTTGTAATGACTTGTACAGGATAAGTTGAGAAATTTTAACTTAATTTCTTTCAAATGACAAACTTTAGTTCTAGGACCTATAAATAAATAATGTTTTTGCACAAAGTCGATGGATAATCCTGATAGTAACAATCCTTTGGGTAAAACCGAAACTCAGAAAATGGCGTCTTTAACATCAACTTGCCTGTTTATCAAGTACCATTCCTATGATACTGATATCCTTACACTGCTGCAAAACCATTCACCTAACTCTGTGTCGGGTGGGTGAGGCCCACTGTCCTTCTTAAACTTACATCGCGCTTACATTTGGATTAGTGGATCAGCATCGCTCAGATACCGACTCTTATCTTAAATGTAAATGTAAGGAACTGCAGTCATGCTTTAAGAGATCTCCTCCAATTCATTCTCCAGTTGAACTCGATGGCTTTGCTTTCGAGTCTGTTAACTCGGCTAAAGTGCTCGGCGTTACCATAGGAGATGATTTCAAATGAAACGATCACATCTTTAATGTAACCTCAAAGGCTGCCAAAAGATTGTACCTCCCGAGTCAACTCAAACGTGTTGGTATCTGTGCGAGTGATCTTGTTTTATTTTACTGTAGTACCATAAGATCGGTTTTAGAATACGCATGTCAAGTATTTCACTCCAGCCTTCTGTTCTATTTATCCTAAGAGCTGGAACGTATTCAGAAGCGCGCCTTGCGCATTATCTTTCCTTGTGCAAGCTACAACAGCGCGCTCAAAGAGGCAGGCATCTCCTCTCTTTACGACAGGAGAGCATCTCTATCGTTTGATCTTTTTAATGACATTGTTCTTGACATTAATCACAAGCTCGCAGGTCTGCTCCCACCTAAAGCTGAGCACCACAGGCAGCTGCGCAGCAATAGAAAGTTTAACGTGCCAGTGTGCAAGACTGATCGTTTTAAAAAATCCTTTATTGTTAGCCATAGCCTAAGGATGTAAATATATATGTTTAAGTATGTATATTTTTTTAACACAAGATCATCCTAAGTGAAACTTTTTTATTAGATTTGTATATTTTTATTATTAAGATTTTCAAACCATTTTAATTATGAATTTTGTTTCTTGTATTGTATATTATACACGTACTTCAGTCTTCGGACTGCGAGGTGTTTCTTTTTAATAAACGATTTATCTATCTATCTATCTATCTATCCATGTTATATGCACTGACATGTTCAATTCAAAGTTCAAATAATTTAAAAAGACTTCCCAACTCACTAGGGTGAATATTTACGAGAAAAGACATAATAATAGGTTTTAAAATTATCAGTGGCATCGTCAGTTCTCGTGATGCGTGCATTGATATGCAGTCGGCGGTGAAGTCCTTCGTCATTTAATCGCCCGTCAGAAAATTGCTATCAATTTAATGGTTAGTGGTAAATATCAGAGCCATTTCCTCCTTTAGCAGACTTATTGGTAATGAGGGAAAAGAGGTTATTGGGTAAAGTATTTTGGCGCTTAGTCGCTCTCAGTCTGCTTTATGCAGTTTTTTTTAGTAGTCGTTGTTTCGTCTGTTGTTGTCACGCATTATTACAACATCTCGGTGGAAGAACATTAGTTGCTACATGATCTAGGTAGCGATTGATTAGCTGCAATGGATCAGGGTATTAATGAAGAAGCTTTCTTCTAGCGGTGTTGCGGTCTCTCATCACTCGTCCTCAACTCTCTCACTCTTTAAAAGACCAATGAAAAAGGACTGGGGACTAGTCATTTCTCACTGGCAAAGAAATCTTATTGATGATTAATCATTGTGGAGGGAAAAAAAAATCCTTTCCGAAAGTCGCATTTCATTCTAACTGGCCAACAAGACTAACAGAAGATTTCTACGGATTTCCAAAGGCTGGCGAATAGATATACAGCTTGCTTTCCAGGCTTCACTGTACTTGAAGGTAAATCAATCTGAAGATTGCCACATCTGTGACGGGTAACAATCAGGCTGACTTTACATACTCTGGTTTAGTAGGTATCTATTGACCCAAATCTCACCTTTGGTAATTTTAGAGGAGACAATCTCAATCATAAGATTATGTGTGTGCCTAAAATAACCCGAAGAAATCCGAATAATCCGAAATAATTCGAAAAAGTCCTAGAGAAAAGGTTCGAAGCATGTCATAAACTAGTTTAAAGCTAATTCCTTCTCATTTTCTCTCATGGAATACAATAACATCTGAAGGAGATATAAATGGTATCTAATCCGGAAGTATCTCAAGCTTTCCTAAGAAAACATAGGTACTCTTTCAGCACGCTACTCTACAAGAAATGTCGAAATTTTCGCAGAATATATTTGTTACTATTGTTTTGAGGAAGTGAAGTTTATCAGTTTTCACGTGGAATCCCCCAAACTTTTCAAGTAAGAAGTGATGTCATTAATATTCTGCCTGTATTTCCTTCAAACTTCTACGGCGGAAAGATGGGTTTGTCCATCATTTTGTTGTGCGCTCCAATTCTGCAAACATTTTTCCGATACGGAAAGGGTTATGCAAGCTCCTCTGAATGCTCTCCTGTCCCCAACATGGCCTGCGCTTGGCAAGATGGAAATGGGAGTATCTATAATCTGGCCCCATTGATATATTCAAGCAACGAAAGGATCCATAGGTAAGCAAAGAAAAAATTTTAATTTAAAGGAAAACAGAATATATTTATATAATTATCCTAAGACGTTGAATATTTCACGGTAAGTACTACCATCCGTGCCTAATTTTTCCACTCGAGCGCGGCTCGAAGCAAGTTAGTTTAAAGTGAAATTGCTCGTGACTTCGATATAATCTCTTTGTAGACTGCTGTGTTTAATTTAGGGCACACTGTTTCGTTTGTTTCGTTTCAGGCTTTCTTTCTGCCTCATGTTAGAGTAAACTTGAAATAGCAAAGCTCGGTTACAAAACCTCTTTTCAACCAAGCTTTTGTCGTAACAGAACGATGTTTAACATCAGCGATCAAAAAAGTCTTCTCAGGAAAATTTGGCGCAGATCGTTTTTGCTACGAAATGGTAAATGTATGTGAGCTAAACAGCTAACCAAAAGTATATTTTCGAGCAACTCTGTCCAGTATTATTGGTCTAGCGTGACATGTGTAGACATGTTTTTCACTTTCGTTTTTCTTAAGTAATCCTAGCAAATCTGATGATTGACCTATGAAGCCGACAAGAAATAGAGATAATTGAACTTTCGATCTTTGTAGCAAATTGAAACCACATAACTGACACAAGGGAATAGAATGACGCGAAAACAATTTTTTGAAAAGCGACCGAGTCAGTATAGAGAGTTTGAGGAGTTTTGACTATATAAATCAGTTGTGATTTGTGAGGACCTCGACTAAATAAATCAGTGGTGAGTATACTTGAGTGTGATGACTAGGAGATCCCTGCATTTCAAAATGATTCTAGTAGCTTCTATTAGTTTATCATAACTCGATGCTATTCAGCCTTCTGCTTAACCAATGCTTTCTCATGAATATTTTTCTAGAGGGTTCGTTGTAAATGGTACACCTCATGGAAAATATAGTCAATACTATTCGTACAGCTATAATCCATGCAGTTGGCTCAGTTTAGCCGGTGACTGTCAACGGGGATTTGAAACAGCAGTAAGTAATGATCTAATTATTTTTACCGTGATAGATATGAAGCTCGACGTTTTCGGCGTTTTTGTTGTTCTTGGAAAATCTGGATATTTGAGCTTTTTTTTGTGCAGCAATCCAGCTTTGTCCATTGGGACGTGTAAGAGTTACTTATTTTTTATCAATAACGTAAATACATGAGTAAAGCCATCTTACAGCTCTTAGAAGAACACCTGAGTTTTCGATGGTGGAAAGACTCGCCGATTCAATATTCTTTGTCTTCAGCTGCTCTGAAAAAGCACAGGTTACTCGAAAAACAAAATGATCTCCATCTTAGAAATAAGATCCCTAAAATCTTACGTTGTAGGCCCCCACGTCGAAGTTAGTATCAGATATTAAGTGGTAACCATGACATTTTTAGAACACAGACTGGACACGAATAAAACAAGGGAATGAATAAAATAGCAGCCACACCACCCTTTAAAATTTTATGTTTCACATACCGGAATCTTGTTTCTCTTGCTTGTCTCAAACATCAGAGTAACTTTGAGATTTGTTGGTGGCCCTGTGGCAGCAGTCGTACTATTTCTCGTATCTTTTTCAGATATGCAAGTGGACTCCAAACAACAATAATCCTGACAATTATCAATCAATTGGAAATAAGTTGCCAAAATGTACCAAAACGAACAACGGCATTCAGCTTACCTACAACGCAGGGGGACGGTATGTGTATTTGCACGTTCCTATGACCAGGCTCAGCAATAAAAATTAAATTAAGCATAAATCTAGGCTCGATTTCCGCCGCTCTCTCGAGTCCGGTCTTTTTCGTTCCTCCCCGAGAAGAGACGGCCGGACGCACTAGCGGCCATCCATGTCTATGACGTAATTTGAAAATGTTAATTTATGCGTTCTCAGATGTCACCGAAAGTGAAATAGGACTCCAACATTCGAATGGATGGTGTACATATAATCGCTAATACGCCGACTAAATTTAACTCGAAAACTGGATATGTCTTCTGTGGCTGCGAAGAAAAAGATTCTAGGAAGAAATCCAAGGTCTCTGATTAGCGGAAAAGGATTTGCGGCGTATTGGAGATTCCTCTTTCTCGTACAGGCGTGGAAGGTTACATTTGTAACGATCACTGCCATCGACAAGTCAAGCGCCTTGGGGAGAGTTGAAAAGACTAACCCCCGCTCCTCGGACTACCCACTGACCCCGCTCCACGGACTACCCCATGGACTACTCAGCGGACTACCCTGCGGACTACCCCCACGGACCACCCTAAATAATCAAACAAATTTACTTTTACAGTGGAAGAGACACAAGCCTACCTGCTCAACTTGCACGATCAAAACAGCCGCCATTTTCTATTCACCAACCTCCTCGACCCAGTCTTTTTTTTTCATTTTCGCCCCATTCTTCATCGGCCATCAGTCTAAACACTGTTTCCACGATTACTTGGACAAAATGATTACAAAGATTTTAAACTAAAAGGGGCAAATTTTGCGTTCATTTGTAATACATATCAGTCAAGAATGTCAAAAAGCTAATTTAGTTCACCTGTTTGTAGTCCTTTCATCCTGCGGGGCGTCAATTGTAAGGAAGGTTCAAAAGAGCTACTTTTTAGCAAATGTTAATGTCGATGGCAAACCGGCTCGAAGCCGCTTAAAAAGAATAATATTTCACAGCGCTTATTGATCGTCCACTGTGGAAACAGTGTTTAGACTGATGGCCGATGAAGGAAGGGGCGAAATTGAAAAAAAGACTGGGTCCATGAAGTCGGTGAAGAGAAAATGGCGGCTGTTTTGATCGTACAAGTTGAGCAGGTCTCTTCCCCTGTAAAAGTAAATTTGGTTGATTATTTAGGGTAGTCCGTGGGGATAGTCCGCAGGGTAGTCCGCGGAGTAGTCCGTGGGGTAGTCTGCCGGGTTGTCTGTGGAGCGGGGGTCAGTTGGTAGTCCGCGGAGCGGGGGTCAGTCTTTTTAACTCTCCCAGCGCCTTGAAAGGCTCCGAGAAGATACAAATACCCTTCATCCCTCATTGTAGAAAAATTTTGAAACGAATAATAGAACGAAGCGTGGCATGCCCTCCGACTCCACTGTTTCGCCAAGTGTTGCCGCGCCGTCAACTTCGCTACGTTTTATTTCGCATACAGTCAACAACTTTCTAAACGACTCATCACAAGATGAAAACATCATTCCGAATTTTCTCTTCGAAGAGCGAAAGAAAGTTTTCATTAAGCTTCCTTTTTGTGGTAAAAACGAAAAACTCGGTAAGATGTTTGTTGCAAAACTCAACGAGTTCACTAATTTTAATTTCATCTTTGTAATCCTCTGGCAAACAAGGCAAATCAAAAGCCTCTTTAACAACAAACACAAAAACACTCACAGATCCAAAGTTGTTTACAAAGGAGATTGTTCTTGTGGCGTAGATTACATTGGCAAGACTGTAAGAAATTTAGCAGTACTTATTGCGGAGCATTCAAATCCTGCTCACACCTCTGAACCTGCAAAATACTTGTGGGAAAATCCATCACATTCTTTCACTTGGCGTGTTCTCTCCTCAGCACAAACATTCCACAAGCATAGGATCGTCGAGGGGGTAATGATCCAACAATTCCTCCTCAGTTTGAACAAACAAGTTATTTCTTATGTCTCCATACTTTTCCCATCGGGAATTACATAAGATTCTTATGTCTACAAACTTTTCCCATGGGGAATTACATAAGATATATATGCATGTGCAGACGGTCATTATTTTCAACCCTGATGATGGCAAACAGCCGAAAACGTTTGGTTCAAACATTTTAATTTTTTCCCTAATCTTTTAGCCTTGTATAGAATATACACTGAGAAATATTATGGGGTTCTTTCAAGGGGTCCAAATAGAGTGGTTTCTTTTCACTCTCCGTAGTCTAGTGAACTGCTTGCTTGTATTTGAAAATTAATAATGACAAATTAGGCTTCAAGTCGTTCTTACAAATGATCACTGAAAAGCTATATTTGTTAAAGCTTACAGTACAGAATGATTTCCATAACTTGGCGTGATATTGTTCAAAGTTACAGCCCCTTCGTTATCTATCAAAATCCAAGTTTTAAAGCAACAACAAACACTACACGCAGATATCTTATAGCACCCAGGGCTTGAAATGTTCCGTCGTGCACGAAAGTCCTGTGCTATTTATGTTTAAGTGTTAAGAATTACTAACCCATGAATTATACACGAAACGTGCTTTGAATATGGCTCCGCTTACCGATGTGAAATGCAGTGAGCCTCGTGGATTGCAATCAGACATAAGCTCGGTTTGGAGGGGCATGGACCGCCATCGTTTCGCTGACAGAAACGCCTCGGATGAACCGGACTAGATTTGGCACTCGCCACGTTCTACTGGTCTCTTCACTTGTTTGTTCGTCCCATATAAACTTCACTGTAGTTCCCATAGATTTAAGAAATCGAACTTGATCTTCCAAAAGTGACATCAGAGAAGAAATGACAAGAACGTTTGACTTCGCACTTAACAAAGGCCTGATATATCAAGTCTCTCCGTGTCGAAAACAATCGGTGCGGACTGAAAAATCAGCGACTTCCCGACTCCGTTGGTTGGAATCATGAAGACATGCTGGCCGCTAACAAGCTTCTCTCGAGCTTTTTGTTGTAAATATTTCAAAATTTCGATCTTAATCGTCTCTAAAATTCGTCCACATGCTACATTCATCAATCCATCATCGTCCACTGTTTTGAAAACTTTGTCTGACAAGATAATTTATGCAGCCTTACAAAAATCTGCGGGTGAAATTCTGATTGGCTTTAAGCAACAAAAGAAACCTCAAGCGTACAGGCGAGTGAATCAGGCCAGTGTTTTTATGTGTGTATACAAGTTAACTAGGGTGGTGTCTATTTCTTAGTGGGTACAACACATATTATATAGGCTTAGAGACAACTTTTTAACACTTTGAATAACATATGAATTTTACTACTTGGAAACACACAAAAGCAGACAATTAACAATCATCAAGATCAACAAATCTACCTTTCTCAAAAAATGATGTGGAGAGCTGTATTGGTTAAGCAATTGGATATTTTTTTTTTATCAGAAACCCAAACCCAAACTTAACACAGAATTCGATTATATTAGAAGGCGCTAACTTCCTAATTTATCTTCTTTTAGGCATCTTGAGGGTCAAAAATCCATCGTCTATGTGAAGTGCGATGGGACCAAAGTAGACATCAAAGATGCAATCTTTAATGTATTCAATGAATATGAATGGGTAAATGACTCAATTCACTGACACAAATTATCTACTGAAATGCCCTATAAATATAGAAAAGTGTTGTAGATCGCGAAGTTATGAGTGCATTATAGCTTATCCTCGTTAGGCGATCAGGTTGAAAGAGTATGCGTCACTCATTAATTTTCCCTTAGGCATCTTGAAGGTCTAAAAGAATCCATTGTCAATCCAGAGTGCGACTGGACCAAAGTATATGTCAAAGACTGACAGTATAGCTGTCGAATCATCGCGATTTTATTTTGATAGTAACTCTACAAATCAATCATTTAAACCATTACAAGGCTTCACGAAAAACATGAAAATAGCTTTTCTCAATTTGTTTGATCATTACGAACTTTTTAAGACATGCGAAGTCTTCGAAGTGCTATGCAAAACATGGTTGAAATATATTAGCATTTTGATAAATATCTTATCAGACTTGCTTTATAAAATCTATGGAACTTTTTAATGCCCATGGCGACTTTATTTGCTTTTCATCATTCCTACCAAGGGTCTTGTTGCGTAAGAAAATGAATTACAAGGGTTATCGCATGTTGAAGGTATAGTTAGGCTCTTGGAAACTCCCTCTTGTTTCGTCTCTATCATGCTTTAGAAATTTGGCCTGAGTCACTTGTGTGGTTGTGGGAATGGTTGTCGTTCGGAGATACCTCTGACGTCATCAGCAGCGAAGGAAAATTGTAAGTAAATATAAAGTCAAACAGTACCAACGTTATTACAGGAAAGTGATGAGAAGGAAAAGTTGCAGATACAAAATAAAGAATAAAGATCTGGCACTGACTTTACAGTGCCACGCATCAAATAATGTCTTCAATTGTTGCTTTCACAAAAATCATACAATGTCAATAATACATATGATGCACGATCCTCGCAGTAGATAGCGCTATTTAAGCAATAGCGAAAATCAGACCTGAAAAAAATCAGGCCTGTACGGGATTCGCACCACTGACCTCTGCGATACTAGTGCAGCGCTCTACCAATTGAGCTAATAAGCCAACTGGGAGCAGGCCGTTAAGTTGATTCGTAATAAACCCGTGAAAGTGATAAATGAGATACAATGAAATATTTGAAGTTCATATATTTTGTACTGCGGTATTAGGTACATATGATGCACGATCCTCGCAGTAGATAGCGCTATTTAAGCAATAGCGAAAATCAGACCTGAAAAAAATCAGGCCTGTACGGGATTCGAACCACTGACCTCTGCGATACTAGTGCAGCGCTCTACCAATTGAGCTAACAAGCCAACTGGGAGCAGGCCGTTAAGTTGATTCGTAATAAACCCGTGAAAGTGATAAATGAGATACAATGAAATATTTGAAGTTCATATATTTTGTACTGCGGTATTAGGTACATATGATGCACGATCCTCGCAGTAGATAGCGCTATTTAAGCAATAGCGAAAATCAGACCTGAAAAAAATCAGGCCTGTACGGGATTCGAACCACTGACCTCTGCGATACTAGTGCAGCGCTCTACCAATTGAGCTAATCAAAATATATGAACTTCATATATTTCATTGTATCTCATTTATCACTTTCACGGGTTTATTACGAATCAACTTAACGGCCTGCTCCCAGTTGGCTTGTTAGCTCAATTGGTAGAGCGCTGCACTAGTATCGCAGAGGTCAGTGGTGCGAATCCCGTACAGGCCTGATTTTTTTCAGGTCTGATTTTCGCTATTGCTTAAATAGCGCTATCTACTGCGAGGATCGTGCATCATATGTACCTAATACCGCAGTACAAAATATATGAACTTCAAATATTTCATTGTATCTCATTTATCACTTTCACGGGTTTATTACGAATCAACTTAACGGCCTGCTCCCAGTTGGCTTATTAGCTCAATTGGTAGAGCGCTGCACTAGTATCGCAGAGGTCAGTGGTGCGAATCCCGTACAGGCCTGATTTTTTTCAGGTCTGATTTTCGCTATTGCATAAATAGCGCTATCTACTGCGAAGGATCGTGCATCATACGTATTTAATACCGCAGTTCAAAATATATGAACTTCATATATTCATTGTATCTGATTTATCATCACGGGTTTATTACGAATCAACTTAACGGCCTGCTCCCAGTTGGCTTGTTAGCTCAATTGGTAGAGCGCTGCACTAGTATCGCAGAGGTCAGTGGTTCGAATCCCGTACAGGCCTGATTTTTTTCAGGTCTGATTTTCGCTATTGCTTAAATAGCGCTATCTGCTGCGAGGATCGTGCATCATATGTATCTAATACCGCAGTACAAAATATATGAACTTCATATATTTCATTGTATCTCAATGTCAATAATATTATAAATTTTGAAAGTTAATGGACGGGCTCGTAATTGCTCAGTGAAAGCCAATTCACTTTTAATCAATTATAAGTTAAAGAAATAATTTATCGTTGAAAATAAAATCTCCTGGTTTCTTTTTTATGTGTGCAGCATACATTGCTGTGGAAATTGCGGTTCCAACGGCTGGGGGCCTTTTGCTGATTGGCTTAGCAGTGACGATATGGTGGAAATGGAGGAACAACCAACGAGATGACGAAAGGCGACCACTGCGTCAAGACGGCCCACGCCAGGAAGGTGCAGATATAATCCATGATGTGTCCCATGGATCAGACTTTGAGAGGAGACCAGCACCCGTTGAACCATCACGGAAAAAAGACAACAACCTCAGACGTGTATCTATTTGAGTAGCTAATGTTAAGGAAATGGAACTATTCGATAGCATGTATTTCTTAATGCGTGTACCAATCCTTCTTTCTCTTAAGATAACTTCTCCCAAAACGATGTTTATTGTTAGTTAAAATCGGTGACAAAACTGTTAAAACAATGACCTTTTCCATGCCTTATTTACTTCTTTTTTGTCTATTTTATCTTTGCTAAGTTAATTTTTTTGCTCCTTCCCGCAAAACAATGTTGCATCTTGTGTCCGTGATCTTTTAGCTAAAATGATTTACAGCATTTAACAAATAATAGTCATATTCTACACATAAAAACTGTTCAAACAATAATTTTGACCCTAAATGTAGATAAGAATGTCCCCATTAATTAGCTGTTACCACTGAAGACATTAATTATCTCTTGCTCTTGCTTAAGTTTTAGAATTTCAAGAATTGTAAGAATGCTAACTTGTTTTTACTTAGTCACTAATATTTTGGATAGAGCTGAAAGTTTCAGATCTGACCTATTTTCTTGAGTTGAATGATTTGAATGATTGGTAGCGGAATAAAAATAACACTGGTTCAAAAGCCAAATCACGTCACTACCCTTGCTAAGAACATCCAAGGCATGTCTAGGTAACTGCAGCTTTGGTTATGTTCGATAGCAAATCGATTCGCAACTTGTATGATAGCGTCTTACATAATTTGTAATAGTTTTTCGTGATTATGAATATATACTTAATCTTCCTAGGAAGAATGTACACAATATTACTGTTATAAAAAATGTTTCAGAATTTTTGGTGCTGAAAAAGTGTTACTTTTGAAAATTACGTTGATATTGCTTGTCAAGTTGGTTTTGTAAGTGGTTTTTGTATTATAAGTAATTTGGACACTATAGATAATGCACTGTAGCTAATGTCTGAACCGTAATTAAGAATGTAGAGGATGAGGTCCCAAACATGTAAGGGGCAAAAAACCCAAGGCTCATGAAAACATAGTTTAATGGAAGATCTGAATATTACTAGTAACTAAAAAGGAATTAAAAACATAAATTTACATTCAGTTACTGAAAATCAATTTTGTCTAAGTGCCTTGAAAGGAGCTTATTCGGTGCAAGAATCTAAAATCTACAAAAAGATGCAACTGTATGACGCCCGGGAGCTAACAAGAAAACCTTTGGTTCATTTGCTTCCTGGTTCAGAATGTAACATTACCGCCTCGATAGTAGTAAATGTATTTTTAATCAATCAGCAAAATTGTAAAATAAAACAATTACTATGATTCGATTTAGTTGATTTATGTGAATAAAAACGTTTTTGTTGTTGTTGTTGTTGTTGTTGTTGTTGTTGGGATCAGATGTCAACTGAGGCCTTAACGATAATGTTGCAAGACAGAGTGAACATAATAAATTATATGATATTGATGGTCGAGAGATTCGATATTTGGAAAGAGGAACTAAGTTTGAAAGCGTAATCTCGAGGGATATCCTCTTGTAAGAAGGAAAATCCTTGAATTATCCTAGCTCTTAGTCCTAGCGCGCATAATTTATGAAAGATGACTGCGCGTTCATTTTAAAATGATCACTTTTTCTATATTTTCTAAACGCAAAAGAGGGGTAGTTTGTGGTTGTTTCACTATCGAGTATAGTGTTCGCTACTTTTTTCTCTGGTTTTGAATTAAGCAAGGTTTTTTGTTGTTGAAAAAACATGAAATGACCCAAAAACCTTATGAAAAACAGTCGCCAAAAACGTGAATTTATACAACGTAAGGTACGCTCTTAAAGGTACCCATACTGACTGTAGTCTACAGACATAGGGTGCTGCTAGTAATCTGAAGCAAGCATGCGGAATTTTCTTCCCAGAAGTATTAAGATGCTATGCTCGATATATTCAAAAGAGAAAGTTTCTGACGAAAAATCTCATAAGAGGAATGAATTTGAATCGCGCTGCCGTACCGATATCCCCTTATTTTAGTTATACAATTGCAATGATCGAAACCAAATTGTCATGCTAATGAATAAATCTCAGCATGAAATAGAACCATTGATCTGATTGGTTCTTATGGCTACATGTAAGTCGCTTACCTACATGTTGTTATTCAGTCAACAACGCATGCTGTCAAGATCGACAAAAATGAACAAGGAGAATTAAGAAGCATGAAAATATTTGCCCGGAAAGTCTTTGAAGGTGGAAGAATGCACCCATAGTACCAGGCCCTTTGAGAAGACAAGATTTGCAGTTTTGATATACATTGAGGTAAGTTTTGTCGAGTATTTTACAAACGTTATCGTCAAGTTGTTAAGGAGCACGTCACCTTAGGTACTAAGATTGCTTTGCCCTACTGATTATCGTCGTTATCCGCTGCAGCATTAATATGATAAACATTCTAATCGTTCAACTCTTCATTTATCTCAAGAGAAAATCAAAGAGAAATTTCTTCAACTATCATCGCCGTTATTTACACATCTAAATTGAGCATGATTCCTAAACGTATGGACTGTGAAATGAAGATATCTAAATTGAATATCCAGAGTGTGCTGCTCCAACCAACTGAAATGGCACGCGCTTGATGAGTTGACAAGTGCTAGCCAGGAAAACTTTAAATGTTATATTCATGTCATAACGTTCAAAATTGCCACCATGTAAATTAGATCCACGAAAGCATTCCTTGTAGCGGACCGTTGTTCACGCCGTGCGATACCCACTGGATGATAGTTTTAGTGTTCTCGTTATATCATCACTCACCATTATGATGCATGTTAGGTACAGATTTTGCTGTTGGACTCCACAAGGTTCACCTTCTACATATAGAGTAATCGGAAAACAAGGGAGGGCAAGCTGTTACATAAATAAAACAACCAAAAAAAAAGACTGGTGTATGGGTCTCCATAAGTATTTAGCTTTCAAAGCTAACAGATTACATTCAGAGTTGAAAATTTAACCAGGAAAATAGCGCGGTATCAGTACGAAGACTTCTCGTATTAAACATGTGTTTGCATGAAGTAGTATTACCGTAATGCAGTGCAGAACTATTCTTGTAAAGTCCATCGGCTGGGCTATTTTCAGTTAAACCGCGGGACTCGAAGCAGTCTAAATCAATCAACTTGTTATACCCTTATACTTTATACTAGTGTTAAATTCGCAATTTAGAAGAGAATACTCCCCAATCGATCAGTTACTGTCGCACTAAAGTGTGCTGAAAATGGGAAACGCAAAGATGATGCCGCATTTGCATCACTTGACGGAGATAACTGGGTACGTATGAATATGCTAGTCTAAGCATTCACCGATGTGTTTACTACTTAGCAAGCACTTTTATATCTGTACTGGCTTACCATTTGACGACTTTACGGGTTTGCAACCTCATATCATACGCATGCAAAGGAAGGTTCTAGAACACTCCATGATGTTCCCAAGATTGAATGTTCCGTAATTTACTCCATGATGCTTAGTCATGCTGATACTGATTTATAAATAGAATTTGACGCAATCATATAGAATATCTTGGACCGTAAAGCATATATTTCAAGTGGAGCACAGACCAAACAGGTTGTTGTTATCACTCCATAAGCTGTCATTAAAGCTGTGTCGCAGACCACAAGTAACTGCTATAACAGTCACAGTCGTTTGTAAATAACGCCTACGGGTCCTGTATTGCTATTTAAAACAATTAAAGATGAATTTTAAAGGAAAGATTCCTAGGTGTAAAATCAAACTCTTATCTTCCTCTTAACTTCAGATATTTCAGTTGACCCACCTATGCGCATTCGGGGATGGTTGTCCACCAGATCATGAATGTAAAATGACTTTATAGTCACGCTAATTGAAAGGGCAAACCGGACTCAGGCGTTCCACATTCTTTTCAGATAACTCAATTTTATCGACTTTAACGAGCACCGCTGAAAAAAAGCCATTTGCGAATCCCCAGACTACACAGATAAATCCTATTCTCGAATTGGGAAATTTATGAAGGCCTTAACCGATTAACTCAAAAATATTTATCGAACCCAAAATAGGAAAAAAATGTCAGAAATGGAATCCACTAGAAGAAGGAAGAAATACTGATAAGGTGATTGCATAGTACTGTAGGAGGCAATTGGTGTGATTCTATTAGCCGAGACTTTCTCTTGGAAAATTTTGCTGGATTGAATCGTTCCACTTATTCTATAATCGTTTAAGTTTTTGAGAAGAAGGTCAATAAAAAAATATCACAGAGACTATGCCCTAACTAATTTGATATTTTGTCTCTATTTTTTTTTTTAACCTTTGTGCAGTAAACATTACTGTGAAAATCGTGCTTCCAATCGCTGGGGTCCTTTTATTGCTCTGCGTATTAGTGCCTCTGAAGATAAGCTGGAAAAGTTGTAAAATGATGAACCGTAACAACAACGCCAAGAAAATGACGAAAGGCGACCATTGCGACGAAACATGATGACCCAAGCCAGGAAGGTTTCTATACAATCCTCAATGTTTCCCGAGTCCCAAGCATGGAAAGGAGGCCAGTTCACGTTGCGCCATCGCGGAGCAAAAATGACGACCTTAGATGCTAAATATTTGAGTTGCTATTTTATATCTCTTAAGTAAAACAAATCTGTGCAATAGCATGTTTTTTTTTAATACAACAACGCCCAACGAGAGGCGACTATTGCGACATGATGTCCTAGGCCAGGAAGGTTTCTATGCAATCCTCGATGTTTCCTGAGACCCAAAAATGGAAAGGAGGCTAGTTCGCGTTGGACCATCACGGAGCAAAAACGACAACTTTAGAAGGTAAATATATAGAATATAAGGAAATGGTAATAGAAGTTTTCGAGGAAATCTCCATAACTCTAGACCGTGATACGTATGATGCACGATCCTCGCAGTAGAGAGCGCTATTTATGCAATAGCGAAAATCAGACCTGAAAAAAATCAGGCCTGTACGGGATTCGAACCACTGACCTCTGCGATACTAGTGCAGCGCTCTACCAATTGAGCTAACAAGCCAACTGGGAGCAGGCCGTTAAGTTGATTCGTAATAAACCCGTGATGATAAATCAGATACAATGAATATATGAAGTTCATATATTTTGAACTGCGGTATTAAATACGTATGATGCACGATCCTTCGCAGTAGATAGCGCTATTTATGCAATAGCGAAAATCAGACCTGAAAAAAATCAGGCCTGTACGGGATTCGAACCACTGACCTCTGCGATACTAGTGCAGCGCTCTACCAATTGAGCTAACAAGCCAACTGGGAGCAGGCCGTTAAGTTGATTCGTAATAAACCCGTGATGATAAATCAGATACAATGAATATATGAAGTTCATATATTTTGAACTGCGGTATTAAATACGTATGATGCACGATCCTTCGCAGTAGATAGCGCTATTTATGCAATAGCGAAAATCAGACCTGAAAAAAATCAGGCCTGTACGGGATTCGAACCACTGACCTCTGCGATACTAGTGCAGCGCTCTACCAATTGAGCTAACAAGCCAACTGGGAGCAGGCCGTTAAGTTGATTCGTAATAAACCCGTGATGATAAATCAGATACAATGAATATATGAAGTTCATATATTTTGAACTGCGGTATTAAATACGTATGATGCACGATCCTTCGCAGTAGATAGCGCTATTTATGCAATAGCGAAAATCAGACCTGAAAAAAATCAGGCCTGTACGGGATTCGAACCACTGACCTCTGCGATACTAGTGCAGCGCTCTACCAATTGAGCTAACAAGCCAACTGGGAGCAGGCCGTTAAGTTGATTCGTAATAAACCCGTGATGATAAATCAGATACAATGAATATATGAAGTTCATATATTTTGAACTGCGGTATTAAATACGTATGATGCACGATCCTTCGCAGTAGATAGCGCTATTTATGCAATAGCGAAAATCAGACCTGAAAAAAATCAGGCCTGTACGGGATTCGAACCACTGACCTCTGCGATACTAGTGCAGCGCTCTACCAATTGAGCTAACAAGCCAACTGGGAGCAGGCCGTTAAGTTGATTCGTAATAAACCCGTGATGATAAATCAGATACAATGAATATATGAAGTTCATATATTTTGAACTGCGGTATTAAATACGTATGATGCACGATCCTTCGCAGTAGATAGCGCTATTTATGCAATAGCGAAAATCAGACCTGAAAAAAATCAGGCCTGTACGGGATTCGAACCACTGACCTCTGCGATACTAGTGCAGCGCTCTACCAATTGAGCTAACAAGCCAACTGGGAGCAGGCCGTTAAGTTGATTCGTAATAAACCCGTGATGATAAATCAGATACAATGAATATATGAAGTTCATATATTTTGAACTGCGGTATTAAATACGTATGATGCACGATCCTTCGCAGTAGATAGCGCTATTTATGCAATAGCGAAAATCAGACCTGAAAAAAATCAGGCCTGTACGGGATTCGAACCACTGACCTCTGCGATACTAGTGCAGCGCTCTACCAATTGAGCTAACAAGCCAACTGGGAGCAGGCCGTTAAGTTGATTCGTAATAAACCCGTGATGATAAATCAGATACAATGAATATATGAAGTTCATATATTTTGAACTGCGGTATTAGATACGTATGATGCACGATCCTCGCAGTAGA